CTGATGCTCAGACACTAAAACTCTCAACAGCCACCTTCAGGCTACTCTAATTAGACTAACCGAGCATGTTGTCTGTAACTTTATCGTTTATGTAAATACAATTTCCTTGGTAGTTTGTGGGTGTTATTTAAGGTACACATTACAGAGGAGGTTACTTAGGAATCACATTACTTAATCAAGAAAGGTACAGTTAGTTCAATGTTATAATCTTTGAATTTGCAAACAAAAAACCTCAGAAGTGTTACGTTGTATGCTGATGATAACCTAATCTTCGTTCAACTTTGAACATCAATCACTCTCAGAGCATGTACTGTATTGTTTAACTTCTGAAATAGAAAGTCTTCTCTGTGTACAAATAGTGCTTATGATCTAGTGATGGACATATTTGGCTCTGGCCAAGTCTAAAAGTTCAGAAGTGTAGAAGTGTGTTACATTTTATTCAATTGGTTTTTGATTAATATCAGAGCAAACATAATTTTTTAAACCAAATTCAATGAGAATATTGAAGCAGGTTTTGATTTGGCTTCATCTTTACAAAACTGAAAGAACATCAACCTGAGACAAAGTAATGAAGCAGCTGGTGACCATCACTTTACTTTACATGGCACTGCCATCTGAATATCCCATAGACCTGTCTTTGCTTTTTTTTCTTTCTGTACATGAAAAAAAAAATTACAGAACAGTTTTTGGTTACTTCATTATTATATGCGTCTTTTCATTATTGAAAGTGAGAGAGTGGGAAAAAAAGTCTTTGTATTTGAGTCAAGTGACGCCACATCAAACACGAGGGTCATTTAACTGCAGGCTGTCCACTCATTCACTATGTCCCCTCTGCAATCTGGTCATAAACAATGAACATTTTCTTTCTCACTCTCTCTCCATCCTCCGAAGTCCCTCTGTCCTTCATTCACCCACACGCACAAACGCCATCTCCACCCTTGACCTCGCTGTGAAAAGTTAGTGCACCCCAGGTTGAACTCTCCCAGCTCTGCTGCAGCCACAAGCGCTGGGAAAGTGGCCCCTGTTAGACATGTGCATGCGTCCGTCTGAGTGTGTGTGTTTGTGTGAACGCTGGGGAAACACTCGGGGTGTCATGAATAGGAGGGATTTGACCCTCAACCACCTGACCTGTCCACACAAATAAGGCTTTTGACCCCAGGCCGCTATTGTCAGAAGTGTTGCTCGATGTTTTATTCCATGAGCCCGCCAAGATTAAATTTTTTTTCTTTACTTTTCCACCCATGTTGATTTCTTTCTAATTTGACCATTATCTCCCTCCTGTTCCCATCACTCCTCTTTTCTTCTTCTCACACCTTCTGTTCTGCCCTCTCCAACTACAGATGAATATTTTCTCTCAGGAGATCTAAGTTTTTTATTTGAAATATAAGATTAAGTGTTTTTACATCAGGTATAAGCTTTATTTTTTCCAAAAGAGTTACCCTTGTGTGTTCATTCATAAATCTACTCCATGTGTACAGCTAGGATCAGGGCAGTTAAATCTAAATATATCAGAGTTTGCCCTTGACAATTTACACTAACAGCACTGAAAGACATGAGGCTAATTTGGCACAAACCTGAGGCTAGGCTAATGTAGCATGTACAACATTCATGTTTTTGCCAATGTCACCTTATTTATCATGTCCCACAGTGTTTTAAGGTTACAGAATGTTTTGGGTATAGCTACAAATCAGACTCTTGTCAGTAAGTTAGCTCAAAAGCTACATCTTGCAAAGTCAACCAAATAGATTAAATTTTAAATAGATAAAAATAAATAAATAAATTACCTAAAACAATTTTACAATCTAAACCTTTAAATATACCCAACAAAGCAGGACATGTGTCAACCATGAATAACTTAAGTCTGGCTTAAAAAGTATGGTCATTACAATATGTAAGATAAGAATAATGAAAAGCTAAGCAAGCTAAGCTAACTAAGCATTTGGTCAGAAATATCTGAAACAAAAATAATCAAATATGTTTTGATACATTAATTTAAAGCTACAAATATAAACAACGTTACAAAAAATACGAACCTGGTAAAACAAAGTTTAAATAAATAAAATTTAAAGAATATATTTGAAAATACTGGGAAAACTGGGTTTTTTTTTTACCCAGACCTTAAATCATTTATACTCCATTAGTAGTTACTTTATTAATGTTTTTGCTACTACATTTGAGATTTCAGTGATTGATTATAAGCTATGTGTACACACTTGTGTCATTTACATTAACACAAATATAATTGAGCGCCTTATTAAATCTTTGTCACAAAGTAATGAGAGCTGATTATAATCTGCAGGCTGTGATGATGGATGGAGCTGTTGTGTCTCTTTATTTCCCTTTGAAAACAAATCTGAAAACAGCTGTTGAAGGCAGTCCTCACATCAGGGCCTGGGATCTCAGGGGGTCATTAAAGAGGTTCAAGGTAGTCCCTTGAAAAAGCCAGTGTTCTGGTTCAATTTGTTGAGAAATGCAGTGCAACGAAAATAATGGGTTCTTATTAATTTCCAATTTCCAAGTTTTAAGGATACAAAAAAGATATGTTCCTTTAAATCTAACTGTGTAAAAGGAGTTAGTAATGATCAAGTCCATTCATCTGTTGTAATCTTGACATTTTTTACACTCATCTAGTGGTTTTATAGTCTCATGTTTTTCTGGGTAAAATAAAGAATTATATTGTATAATATATTTTTTTTATTTTTTAAGGAACCTATACCAAATAGTAGAAGAAGCTTCCTGCTTCCATACATCAGAGATGTAAGATCTGGTATTTACTCCCTTTCTCGACTCCGTTCAAAGTCACCCCTTATTTGAATGAGAAGAATTCCAAAAATGTCTTATTTAACATGGTCCTGAATACCAAGTTGGACATTAGTCTTCCCAGTCCTGATGAATTCTTCGTCTCCCTTGACCAGGCCTCCTGTGTCACATCTCACCACCCAGTGTTGTAGTACTCTGAGGCTCAAACACAACTTGGACTTAAATTGTTTCATGTCCTTGGATCCTTATTTATTATTTATATGCTTCCACAAGATGTGGATTGGACTGAACTGGACTACCAGATAAATCAACAAAAACAAGCAACAACCAAATGAAATGAATAGCAAAAAAAGTAAATGCCTGAAAATTGTTAGAAATGCAGACTCAACTCAGTTTTCAAGTCTGAGTCCAGTGACTTTTAACACTGAGTATTTGGCTGCAACGTTGACATAATCTCATTATCACATCAATGGGAAACATTGGATGGAAGAGGTTTGCAGATATTTAACTTGGACAAACCTGGCAACAAGTTTTGCACTATAAAGGTCCGCTTATGTAAATGTATAAAAACGTACACTGCAAAAAATACTTTACATTGTGTCTAATGATTAAGCTGCACCATTTTATTCAGTAAATCAATACTGATTAAGTCCATGATACTGACTATAAGCTACTGACTGTAAACCATAAAAATACTTATAATACGTTATAAAAACAGCAGGACTCGGAAAGTGTGTGTGTCTCTGTGTGTATGTGTATATTTAGCTGTAAATAACTACAAAAAACGAATATGGTTCAAGGCCTCAGCCATACGCGTCACCCTGGACCAATTCTTGGATCAAACGCTCCCTCTGCTGGTCAAATTCGTTTTTGCTATATTTTCATGTTGGTTATTTTTCTGCAGAATGTGGTAAAAATGTATTGAAAGAAATGTATTGGAAAACAAATATTGCAAAAATGAATCAAAGTTATCCAGAAAGATAACTCGAAGTGACCCCCCCGTAACTAACGAAAATATCCTTAGTCATACGAAAGATGAATATAAAACTATAAATACCTTTAAAATATCATCCCAGAAATATCCTAAAATAGCGAAATATATATATACAAAACCCCCTCAAATATATACAAAACCAAAGACATAGTTAAAACGAAGCAGCAATAATGACAAACATTTGGTCCGCATAGCTTATACAATACAATTCATGGATTGTTAAATTATCTAGTTTGTATGTTTTTGTTTTATTTTTAATCTCTGATGTACATAAATGTAGTTAGATTTAGAAGAAAAAAAATACAACAACAATAGTACAACAAAAATATCGAAAATAGCATCAGAAAGACTAGATGATTCATGGTAATAATTAGGTAAAGAATTATCTAGAAAGACTAATTAAACACGATATAAAGCAAGATATTATTTATGTATTCCTGTTTACATTTATCACCTCATACTGTTTATATTTATTCCATCCTGTTACATTTGTCACTTCCATACTGTTTACATGTATATTTACCATTAATTTATATTTAGCACAACTTGGTTTGCACTACCTATGTACATAGCCATACCTCAAGTAATTACTCATGGCCTACAAGCTGTGTACGATGTACTCCGGTTGCCAGGCAACGACATTTCGTTGTCAGACTCACTGTTTTTAGTGTTTCTGTGCAATGACAATAAAGAAAGTCTAAGTCTCTAAGAAAAGTAATTGTTAGATTTATACCCACGCCGTTGTTAATTGATGGGCTAGACGAAGCTAAATATTAGCCGGGAAGACAACTACTAATTACCATAGACAGCTTAAATATAGCCTACGAAACATTACACAATTACTAAAAAACAATTTAGCAAAAAACAAGCCAAACGCCTAATTTTATGTAATTCCATCCCAGGAATAAATAACGAAGTTAGCTAACAATACAACTAACAACTAAAAATGGCCACAGAAAGACAGAAAAACATTTTTGACAAATATCTAAAACCGAATGAACGCTTAAATAGAATAATTTTGTTCCAAAATATCAAAATACAGCCAAATAGTTGGATTTAAAAATGCATAAAAACGTGTAATTTCTTTGATTCTACATTTGAGCAACGACGCTTCCTCTCGCACTACGGTCATTAACGGATATTTAATTGAAGACAGACTATAATTTTGATGAGAAATGACAAATATCCTGATGTTGTTTGTAACTTGACGACTTGTTAAACGTCACTTTCCCCTTTTCCTCTACAGGATGTGTCATCGCAGTCTTAGTTGCAGCTCGTGAGGGGGAAAAAAATCTCAGATTCTTCCCAAATCCCGCCTCCCTGTGTGGATTAAAGACATTTTTCCTCCTAGTATGACGAGCTGAAAGCGGAAGTTGTAAGTGTTTAGTCGGAAAAGTCAGCAGCAGCTGTAAGGAAGGGGGGTTGAAACTTTTGGGAAAAGCCCTTTTTCTTCCTGCAGCATTGACTGCTGACGCGTCCACAGCTGCTCCATTCGCACTTCCACCATGTTGC